GGGGGGGGGGGCACCGGGGGCGCCTTTCCGTTCCCAGGGCCGAGCGGGAGCGGGGCCTCTTCCTTCCCCGCGGGGGTGGCGCGGCGCCAGCCCCGGCGCCGGGGCACAGGGAAGCGTGTTGACAAACACGGGGCTGGCTACGGCTCCCGCCGCCCGGGCAGGATGTGCGGGGGGGGAGCTGACCTGGAGCGGCCCCCCAACCTCCCCCCCCCCACACCGTGCCCAGGCACTGGCCCTCGGGACAGGCCGGGTCGGTGGGGTGACCCCATCCCAGGTATCAGCCCCCCTCGAGGCTACAGGGGTGTCCCCCTGGGCTGTGACCACCCCCGGTTGTAGGGGTACCCCCCAGGCACCAGGCTCCCTAGAGTGTAGGAGCACCTGTCTTGTCTTAAAGGGGCCCCCCGTGCCAGGTACCAGCCCCCCCAAGCTGTAGGGGTGCCTCGTGCCCCAGGTGATGCCCCCCCAGGCTGTAGGGGCACTCCTCCCCCAGGCACCAGCTCCCTAGGTTTTAGGGGTGCCCCCCAGGCACCAGCCTCACTAGGCTTATAGAGGTGCCCCACACCCCAGCTGATACCTCCACTGGTTGTAGTGGTGCCCCTCAACTAGACACCAGCCTCCCCAGGCTGGAGGAGAGTCCCCCCCCAGGAGGGACGAATCCTGTGGAGTTTGAGAACCAGGGCAGGCACTTGTGGGGGGCCCCCGGGGAGGCCCCCAGCTGGCTGCCGGTCTGTCCCCCCCCCCCCGGGGTGAGGTGTGGGGAGCAGCAGGTGCTGGAGCTGGGCCGGCTGCCCCACGGGCGAGAGCTGCGACGCCGCCCGGCACCGGCAGCGTTGGGACGGGCAGGGTGTGCATCCCGGCGGGTCCCCCCCCTGGAGAGCGCTGGGAATGGGGGTGCACTTGCCGGGGGGGTGACTTTTCCTCTCAAAGCCAACCTGGGCACGGCCAGGTGGACCCAAGTTTGCCCCTCTTGGACTCGGAGGAGCTGCTGGGGGCAGGGCCTTGATAATCAGTGGGGGGGGATTTGGGGGTGCAGGGGGAGCACCCCCCAGGCCTCTCCCCACCGGAGCTGACCCCGGCCACCCTCCCACTGCAGGTTCCTGGAGAGTGACTACACGGTGACAGTGCATCTCAACGATTACCTGGATATTATCTGCCCCCACTATGAGGAGGGGAGTGTGGACCCCCGCTCCATGGAGCGCTACACGCTCTACCTGGTGGATCCCGAGGAGTTCGGGGCCTGCAAGCCCCGCTCCAAGGAGCAGATCCGCTGGGAATGCAACAAACCCAGTGCCCTGCACGGCCCCGAGAAGTTCTCGGAGAAGTTCCAGCGCTTCACCCCCTTCACGCTGGGCAAGGAGTTCAAGGAAGGGCACAGCTACTACTACATCTGTGAGTGCCTGGGGGTCCCACTGTGGGGCTGGGGTCCCTGCTGGGCTCCCCCACACACTCCTAACCTCCATCTTCCCTCGTAGCCAAGCCCATTCACCACCATGGCGAAGCGTGCCTGAGGCTGAAGGTGATGGTGGTGAGCAAAGACAGTGAGTATTGCCCAGTGTCCCACCACCCCCCGGGCCCATGGCACCCATCCCCTGTCCCACGCACCCCCCCTTTTCCCGGCATCGGTGCCCAACTTGGCCTTTCCGGAGCTGAGTCACGACCGGCCGGTGGCCCCCTGCCAGTCCCCGGGCTGTGCGTGCCTGCGGCTCGGCCGCCAAGGTGCCAGCGGCTGCTGGGGGGGGAGGGATGGTCCTGGTGAAACCTGGCTGCGGGGGGGGGTCAGGGGGCTGCCCTTCACCAGCCTGACCCCCGTGTTTGCTTTGCAGCTCAGGCACCGCCTGCTGCAGCCGCTACCCCAAGGGGCAGGATCCAGGCAGGTAGGTTGGGGACTGATGTGGGGCTGAGGCTGGCCCCCCCCTCCTAGTGGGGGAAGAACTGGGTGGCAGCCCCCCTCAGGGGCTGAGGCGGTGCTGGCATGGGGCAGGGATGCTGACAGCTCCTTCTCTCCCCACAGATGATGCGGCCGCTCACGTGCTGAGGAGTGTGGGGCAGAACTCGGCGATGCGGGGCAGCAGCCCCTTCACCTTCATCAGCCTCCTCCTGCCCCTCCTGGTGCCACAGGGGCTGTGAGCCCAGTCCCCCCCCCCCAGGGCCCGGACGGACCAAAGCTGCGGCCACTGGGGATGGAGCCAGGATGTTGGGGACCCCCGTGTCCTCGGGCGTGCCGTGGGGTGGCCAGAGGAAAGGATTTGTCAGTATTACGGGGCTGGAGAGCCTGAAGCCGAGCTGAGTAGCCCAAGCCCTGGGGCCACCCTGGCTCCCCCGGCCCTTGCTGGAGACTGAGTGCCACCAAGGGGCTGCGTGCCTGGACTGGAGGGGTGCGGGGGGCTGGCACCCCTGCCCCAGGAGCTGAGCCCATGGAGGGCCCTCGAGTGTCACTCTCTGCTGTGGGCTCAGACTGTGACGTGTCCCGCAGGCGGGGATGCGGTGCTGGCCCTGTGGCCGGCCAGGTGCCACCAAGTGCCCTGGGGCTGTTGTCCCTTGTGGGTTCTGGGAGCCTGGACGTGCTCCATTTTGCCTGGCAGCTACAGAGCAGGGGCATGGAACCCCCCCACCTTCCCCATCCCTCATCCTACCGCACAGGGGGGCAGAGAGAGATGGACCCCCCCTTCCCTCTGGGGTGCCAGAGGGTCCCCCCCTGCGTGGGGCACTTTGCCCTCCCCTTCCCTCCCCTCATTTGTACAGCTTTGTACCACGGGAGTTTTTATACAATTGTCTTGAATAAATAACCAAGACCAAGCTGAGCACCTGGGGC